CAAATAGTGGGAAGGAGGAGGAACAGCTCGACGGGGGTTTGGCCTTTGGGAGGAGCCGGGGAAGAAAGTTCGGAGGTGCAACGAACGAACGGAAAAGAAATCTAGCAACACAGACATGTTTGTTCTGCACTGAAAGCATCCTCTCAGCCCATCGTCCTGGAGTCCTGTAGCTCAGTGGTTAGAGCACTCACTTTGCAAGCGAGAGACCCGAGTTCAATTTCAGGCAGAGGGCGAAACCTTGGGCAAATTTCCTTACTCCACACAGAGCCTAATAATAATCCCTCCAAAACCAAAAACAATAATAAATTGGTCATTTTCAATCTACGACTGTTTGTGGGACATTGCTGTGAGCAATTGGCTGCCGCGTTCGCCCACAAATATACAGTCAATTCACTTTACTGTGTGTTCTGTGAAGCGCTTTGGGACGTCCTCCCGACGTGAAAAGCGCTATATCAAATGCAAGGATTATTATTATTATTATTATTATTATCGTGTCCGTGCTGCTCTTTCACAACCACCTCCTCCCACTCCCCTCGTTTTATCTGCCAAACAATCCCCAGACTGTGCCCCTTATCGCTGATTCCCGGTTAAAATAATTAATTGTGATCTATAGGAACAGCGTCCAGACAGAACTGGCAAAGCTCTCTTCCCACTTCTCTGGAGTGTTTTAAGGTCCGATTGTTTCACTGCATGGTGTGCAGTGCGCAGTGCCAAGCTACGCTATCAGTTCATCATCCAGCCTGTCTTATTCCTCCTTCCCTGACACTCCGAGCTGACTCAACACCTTGAAAGATCCACTAACCTGTGATCTCCAGAGAGAGTCTTTGCACTGAGTGAGATGGTGAAGTGCAAAGGAGCTCAGGGGCAAATAGTTGGCCTCACAAGGTGTTAGTAACATTGGAATTCAGCCTACAAACCAGGAATGCAACTCTCTCTCTCTCTCTCTCTCTCTGACAGACCAGGTGCAACTAAACCCAGCCCAAACTGGGAGTCCTTCCCTCGCCAACCAGCGAGCAGCAGTTTGCAGCCATGTCGTTCCGGACAGAGAAAAATCACAAGTCTCTGTAACGCATGTTTTTGTGGGTTGTGGGCGCTGTGTAAATAAATACCCAAGGTAGCTGTGCCACGGACTCAATGGTCCGAATGGCCTCTTTCGGCGCTGAAAAAAAATCCCCATTTTCTCAAGGTGGTGGAAATTGTGAAGCCGCTCTTTTAAAAAGTGAAATATTCCCATCTTTGACATTTGAACGAACGCTCCCCTTTTAGTGATTTGACTCATTCGTGTTAATTTTGGAAGAAACATTTTCAGGAACAGGGAGATCAGAATCGCGAAAAGTCACTCGTGTCTATTGAGGCTGAAGCCAGAATACTGAAAAGACAATTGGATAAATATTTGAAACGCATTGCCTGGAAGGGCGGTGGAACCCGACTTGATAACGACGCTTAAGAGAGAAGTCGATAATTATTTGGGGAGGACGAGTTTGCGGGGCTATGGGGAGAGAGCGGGGGAGTGGGATTGATTTGGACAGCTCTTCTCAAAGAGCCGACACAGACGTGATGGGCCAAACGGTCTCCTTCTGTGCTGTATCATTCCACGATTCTATGAAGGCCATAAAAGGGGACAGGGAGAGAGTTAGGGATAAGGAATGCACAGCTCCTGTGGAGACGGTTGCAGATTAAGTTCGATGGGTCGGTGGCACTTCCTATTGTACGAGGAGTGGTTTGAGCTTGTTCTGTACTACTGGTGAGAAAATTCCATTCTGTTGTGAAGGATCTCGCAGACGATCACTGGCTAAGGGCAGTGACAGCGCTGTCGGTCATTGCAATGATTAGGTGCTTCACGCAGTACCTTGACAAGCAGGATTTATTTATATCATTAAAAAAAATGCGCCTTGGGACATCCTCCTGGGCGCGGAAGGCACTATAAAAATGCAATTTGTTGTCTGTTGTTGTTGAATAACAATCCTTCTGTTTGGTGTAGCGCCTTTCACGTCAGGAGCACATCTCAACGCGCTTCACAGGATTTACTACAAAGAGTAGAGACTGTGTGTTTTGCAGGCGGACGCAGCAACCAATTTGCGCGTAGTAATGTCCCACCAAAAGCCTGACCGATTTTATTTGGGGGATTATCGGCCAGGACACCAGAAGAAACTCCCTTTTCTTTTCAAATAATGCAATTAACATCCACCTGATCAGGCAGTCGCAATCGCATCCTAAGAACGGCACCACAAACAATAGCCCTGTACCCCAATTATAATAATCCTCGTATCGAAACACCTCTCGTTGATCGCATCCTTTGATCAACATGCAATCGCACTGAAACATCTCAAAGTGCTTTGTAAGGTTTCTGTAAAGTAAGGTGACTGTTTGTAAGAGAACTGCTCCTTACTGCACTTTGACTCGCTCTGCATTGCTCAGAAGAGTCCAGGACTCTTGATTTTGCCCAGGGTGAAACCGGCGCATCAAAAAAACGCGACACTCAGGGTAAAGAGGGGGTTTCACGATCGGCAATTTACCATTACAATGGCAATTTAAAAAGTTAGCACAGGAACCCATTGGATGTATCTGTAATACAACACTCAACAACTAAAATAGCATGTAATTGGAAATGGAATGTGCGTGTGAGTCACTCACGGCTCCATGTCATGGGCAAAGCCAACACTGGGAGTTTTACTTTTGTTACGTTTGTTAAACAGTTCCGCGCTGTCACACTCTCACACGGTCTAAATCACTGCCTAAAAACAATTCCTCTACAAACGCGCAGCCACGACACTTTACAGTCCATCTGGTGAGGCACTCTGAGAAGCTTCCACAACGTGATACAGCACTATTTCAAACGTGAGGACTATACTTGTTCAGAGGAGCTGTGAAGCTCCAGTGGGACAGAAATGGACGTCACACTTACAAACGACGGATGGAAAAAAAGAGAGCAGGTGAGAGAGCGAGAAAGGCAGAAGGAGGAAGAGATTACCGAGAGCGTGTGTGTGAGAGAGAGACAGACAGACAAATATAAGGAGACAGACAGAGACAGAGCTGGAGGCATGGAGCAACACTATTGGGTGTGAACAGGATGGAGAAATGTGTCCGAGCCAGAGTTGCGCAGTTTGATCGGCGTCAGACATTTCTTTAACGAGAAGCTTCAGTCAGTGCGTGTGTGTGTGTGTGTGTGCGTGTGTGGCGAGAAGGCACAGGTCTGATGGGTATAAAAGGCTATTGGACAGATGCTCCTCATGTTAGTTCACGTGATGGGGGTCAGAGGTGTAGAGAGAGAAAGCCACAACCACCTGCTCTTCAAATGAGCTCGCTAACCTGAGGCAGTCAACGTCAAACACCATAGACACCCTCCCACCCCCACCCCCAGCCACGTAGATAACCACCCTCCCCACCCCCCCCACATCAAACCTTTTTCTCAAAATAAAATTCAGCTCCTATAAACGCTAACACACCCACTTTCACACCACTGGGTGTGGAGTCCTCACCTCCCCATGTCAGGTTACCTTCTTCCGTGCAGGACAAACGAGCTCCGAGTTCTTAAAGCACAGCCTGAGGTTTGGTTTTATCCAAAAATTATGGGGTGGGTGGTGGGGTGGTGGAGGAGAAGGAAACTGACACAATGTCATTTGCCAGTTTCCTGAGAGGCCTAATTGGAATGTTTTCTGGACAGCCTGGTGGACGACACACCGGGGAAACTCATCGCCGTGTTTTAAGAGCATCCAAATGAAACTATTGCGGGTTCCATACGTGGAGGGAAAGTTCTGTTTGTGTTGTATGCGTTGCACACTCCCTCTCACTCTCCATCACACACACACACACACACACACACAGCATACACCTTATTCCTGGTGAGTTGAAGCGTAGGTTGTTAAGTCAAGGTTTGGGAATCTCAAGTGTGTGCAGTGAGTTACTGCTGGAGTTAAACCAGTTATATTCACACAGGTTGCCACTACTTCCCACTGTTTGTCCACCTATCCTACCCTACCTGTTTGGACTTTGGCTTACAGGGTTAACAGGAACCAAGTGGGATCCCCAGCCATCGATGAGTGGCTGGTCTGCTCCTCCAAGTCCTGCTAACAAGCCAGGTTGCCTGCACATTAACTATCAGATACTGGTTCCGACCTAGACAGGCGATGAGGCTTGATTTCCCTGCGTGCGGAAGGTGGCCTGGGTGGGCAGAATGAACCCAAGGTAGAGAACAGTGGGGGGGGGGGCTCAGTGAAGTCACTGGGGTTGAAGGTGGATTTTGCACAGGACACAGCAACCCTGATCCTGTTCTCTGTGCAAACGGTTTCGATCTTTCAGGTAAAGATCTCATAAGTCAGAGGAACCTGGATACTCTCCCAAGTGTAGCAGAGCAGAGCGGAGGCTCAGAACAGGACCACTCAATTCGTGGGAAGGAAGCGTTTTTTTTATATATATATATATAATAAAAAATACATTTTCTACACAGATTCAGCCAGTCACAGACATCGCACTCCGTCCGATCGCATCAGGACACCCGGCTCTGGGTACAACAGTACGCTGGCAGCCACAACGGTGTTCGTTATTGAGCCCGAGGATGGGTTTGTTTTTTTAAAAGTCGCCAGCCGAGCAACGTCCAACAAAACACCACGGCTTGAAATCCCTGCAGAGGTTGGGCCGAGTGAGTCTTGGGGTAAAGGTGATGAAATTTCAAGCCAACGGCCTGTCCGTGGCTCTCACGGAGGGTCCCTTTCCCTTTGAGAAAGTCCACACGTCACGTAGCAGGCCGCAGAGGCCAGCCACGGCACGGAATTAAAACCCTTTAGCGTTCCGCCAATTCCCTCGCCAAAATACCGTGAGCAGGTCTGGAGGCTTTTGTTTTACTTTTGGGCTGTTGTCTATCCGCAGCAGGCCGAGTCGAAGTGGAACGAACGATCAAAACAAAAGTAAAAGGGAGGGAAAGAAATGATTTCCCCCCCATCCCATCCCACCCCACCACCACCCGCCCACCCCCACCCCAACCACCCCCACTGCCTCCCTCTATTCAGGTGAAAGCAGCAACAAACGTCCCAAACCGGTTGAGGATGTCGGAATGCAGGGATTTCCACGTTTGCACAGGTTTCCGGCCTCTAGGCTCACTGAGGTGGACAGAAAGGCACTGCGAGTGGCTGCCTGGTGAAGCCTTGCTCTGGGATAGCTCGTAGGCTGGAAAGGGTTAATAAACACAAGAGTTTTAGTTCCTGCGCCGCACAGAACTATTCCTTCTCTTATCTAGAGTTTCGTTTTTCACGACGACGCAGTTAAAATAGCTGACGTGAAAAGGCCTCAGCAAAACCTTGGGTTATCTCGCTGAGACCTTCAGCTCCAGCTCATTAGGGTCGTGTATTACAATTGGAAGATAGTGGGTAAATGCTTCAATTCAGTCTGAGTTTGGAAGCGCAGCAGGTTGGCCTTTCCTCAGAAACTGTGTGAAAAAAAAAGTCTCCCGAAACCGAATGTGATGGCATTTTTTTTCTCACAATTCCGGGCCCTCTCGAATTTCAAGACGAGACGGTGCCAAGGCTCAGACTAGGCGGAATCAGTTGCTGGAGGACGCCATTGAATTGCACGGTTAACACAAGCCGTTACATTCCGCTGAGCGGCTCTCAGCGTGTTCACCGTTGGATTGGAGATCAGAAGGTTGTGAGTTCCAATCCCTGTCGCGTCTCATTCACCACAAACTGAGCACCGTATCTCGCAAAACGTATCCTCCTCGGCGGGGCAAGGCGAGGGCGGTTCGGGTTCTGCCCGGCGTTGGAACGGGAGGAGTCCGTTCAACCCCTCGAGCCTGTTCCGTCGTTCTGTAAAGATCAGAGCTGATCTGTACCTCAGATTCCTGCAGTCACGAGCACCTGTTTTCACTACAGCACATTCTAGTCCAACCGACCATTTCTCCCCGTGTCTGTGCGTGTCAGTTAAACTTTACTCGAGACGGGGTAAAGGGGCCACACGACATGTGATCTGAGAGATCCAGGTCCCGTCATCATAACAGTCGCCTTATAACTGCTAGACGTTAATAATAATACTACTACTAACAACAATCCTTGCGATTGATATAGAGCCTTGTCACGTCTTCGAGACGTCTCAAAGCGTTTCACAGTATATGCTGTAAAATGGATTGACTTGATATTTAACCTAACATAAATAAGGCACGTCCAGAGAGAGGAAACAGCTCCTGAACACATTTCTCTGGTCTCCCTGTACCACAAGCTGACTGTTCACCTCGAGGTGGGAAGAGGGTTGCAGAATGACGTGCTGGAACCCCCCCTTGTTCCACAAAAGTGACTTCTTTAAACCATGTTTTCTCAGATCCAGTAATCGTCCATCGTTAGCAAAAACACAAACCACAGACTAAACAAACACAGGCTGGTCCTCACTCGTCAGTGCTCTCTCTTGCCAGAGCAGAACGCTTTAATCCGCGGTCAGAAATCTTAACACGATCTGAGACTAAAAACTATTGCGTTCAAATTTAAGATGGGGCAGAATTTTGTGAAAATTCTTCAAACAATCTCGGGCTTTTATATGGAATCCGTTTCTGTTCAATAACTTAAAAAAGGTCCAAAAATTCAGACTGAACGTAACTCTTTTTGGAGCGGGAATGGGGGTGGGGGGCAAAATTCTGCACAATCTTAAACTGTACCACACCGGGTGATTTCAGGCCTCGGATGTCATAATAATAATAATAATCCTTGCATTTGATACAGCGCCTGATCACGTCTTTGAGACGTCTCAAAGCGCTTCACAGAACATATTGTAAAGTGAATTGACTGTACATGTGAGGCAGAAACACGGCAGCCAATGACGCACAACAGTGTCCCACAAACAGCCGTGGATTGAAGTGACCAAATTTTTTTTCTTTTTGAAGGAATTATTACCCCAGTAAAAGCGATCCGCCAATCGACTCACAACCGGGTTCCTACTTACTGCTGGGTAAACAGGGGCGTGTGGAGTAAGGAAACTTGCCCAACATTTCGCCCTGCCCGGGAATCGAACCCAGGTCCTCTCGCTTGACATTAATAGGACTGACTGACTTGACGCACAAGAACCAAACGGAAAATGGCACAAGATTGGGGTTGGAATACGCACCGTGCTTTACTGCGCACTCTCGTGCTGAGGCCGTGTTGAACAGCTTTACAGGGGATTCTGCCGATGCGCAAGCCCATCTACCGACTAAAAGTAACACGCCACCATCTGCATTATCGCAACAAATGTCAGCTGTCCTCGTGGAGAGCGGGATCTACAAGACATAAAGAGGGGGGGGGGGGGGGTGAGGGTCAATGTGTGTCAGTACTGTACCCTCCACACACCCCCCACTGCTGTAATGTAATGCACCCTCAGCCCCCCCACTACCACCCCCCCCTTTTATCACAACCAAGTACTGAGCCTCTCCGTCGCTGCCCCCGAACCTACACATTGCTTCGGACATCACCACAGCATGCAATACTCCACAGAACGTGAGGGCAGATCAAGCACAGTAGCTTTGCATGTTGTACTCTATAATGCACTCCACTGGCACGCAAACATGGTGCAACACACACAAACACACACACGCACACCATCGAACTGCTCGCACAGGTTTACTGTGCATACGCGTTAATGTACTTTTTATACACGCAGCTACACGGGACACTCAGCGAATATATTGTACGCTCAACTTGTGTACTGTACAACACTAATGCACTCCACACACTTTAATACACTGCACACACGCCAATTTATTGTGCCCACGGATACGCCGTACACACCAATGTACTGTGCACACACAGGAATTCTGTACACACTCTGATATACTCAACACATACAAATGCACTGAGCACGCTGTGGTACAGTACACAGACGCAGATGCACTATACTATACACACTGATAAGAGTGTATAAGCGTTGATGTAATAAGCACAGATTTACTGTACAGGCTGATACTGTACACACACCGATAATAATATAATAATAATAATCCTTGCATTTGATATGGCGCTTTTCATGCCTTCTAGATAGCTTCAACGCACTGCTATGCAGTGCACACGGCTCGCAGAAATTTTAAAATGAGTGACACAAACCTTATTCACTACTAGATCTCAAACTAATGTGCAGAATCTTGATGTCCTGGGACTTTTATCATGGCCCAGAATTGGAGGCAGCATTTGGACCCGTGTCCACATCCACTCTCAGAATCAGCGCCTCGTTCATTCGGATTTATTTTGGTTTTGCAGTCAGGCCTGTTCTCTCTCTCTCTCTCTCCCTCCCTCCCTCCCTCCCTTCCTCTCTCTCTGAGACAAGGAGGCTCCATTGGTTTTTACGATTGCAACGTGCTGTGGGTTGCTCAGTAACTCGGACGTATGCTGCATTTAAGCTTCTCTGGGAAATGTGACGTGACAGGAGATGTGAGCCTCCAGTCTGATCCCTTTCACCCAATTGAACAGGCTGACAAGCCCGAGTTCCATCCACACAACCCAGCGTGAGACGACATTAAAAAGCGACCTCAAAAATAAGTCTGGCTCGCCCTTCGCTCCCCCCCACCACCCCTCTCAATAACAAGTCAGAGCCTGACCGCACCCCCAACTTCCCTCTACTGCTCAACAACAAGACAAAATACTCCTACTACACTGTACCACGTAGCACTCCCGTGGTCAAGTACAACATGGGTTAGACAGGTTAAGATCTCTTACACCATCCCATCCAACAATTCTAGATCTGAAAATACTCCCAGCTAATTAGACTCACTGTTTCTCACTGAGACAAACAGAACACAAGAACACAAACCCCTTAGTTCCCGTTGTCTCAGCCTACGCCACAACTGCACAAAGAAAGAAAGAAAGTTCTTCATTTCTCCAATTTTTTTTCCCTCCTATCCTAAATTATCTCTCTGGGTTGCTATCGTCTTTGCTGGGGTACTGTTCTAAAGGTACCAAAGCCTCTCCAATGCCTTGTCCAAAAGATCTTTATTCGTGCGTGATCCTGGAGTCAAATCAGGTAGAATAAATGACCCTGAGGCATCTTGTCCTTGTCTGATTTCCTCACAGATACATTTTCCCTCAGGGGGTCTGTGAATAATCCACCTAGTCTTAGGCTTTGGAAGTGACTAACCCGGCAGAGAGGGCAGCACGGCTTTTCAAGAGATTATCTAAACAAAAATATTTGTAAAAATGTGGCCGCTCAATCCACAGGGTGGGACGCTGCTGTGCGCCATTGGCTGCCGCGTTTCACCTACAAAGTACACAGTCAATCCAGTCTACAGCAGATTCTGTGAAGCGCTTTCTGACGTCTCAACGATGTGATAAGACGCTATATCAAATGCAAGGATTCTTATTCTTATTCTTCTCATTATTAAATGCAGAAAGCCAGCTTCCATTGTAACAGTGAGCATAGGAATTTTCCACAGTTCAGCAGGATCTTAAATTTTAAGACAAAAACAATCACGCAAGTTAAAACCAGGCTAGTTTTCCCCTCACAAATCCAGGATCTCTGAAGCCGACATAAGTCCTTGTTGAAATCCCAGCTGAGATCACAATAATAATCCTTGCATTTGATACAGCGCCTTATCATGTCCTCAAGACGTCTCAAAGCGCTTCACAGGATATACTGTAAAGTGAATTGACTGTATATTTTGCAGGCGAAACACGGCGACCAATTGTGCACAGCATGAGTAAACTTACTATTTCCCAGGGCTGGGCATTGAACCCTGTGCAGCTCAGTTACTGGTGGATAAACCCACTGAACCATATTAATTCTTTTCAAGTAAGAATTTTAATTTTCCAAAGCTCGAGAAAGCTTTGGCTTAAAATCAGAATGAACTAATTTAATTAGCCTGTAATAAACAAGCTATTTATAGTGGAAGTAATTAACACCTCGTTGAGCTCACACAGGAATGGAACATCTCGGAGGCTCCCAGTGCCAGGGCAAGTCATGAATATATAATGATTTCATGATATAATTCTTCAGAGTGCACGCATTGGCACCTTGCGCTGTGATAAAAAAAATCTTAATTTTAAAATAATCCTCGGGGCAAGACTGAGCCACCAGCAAGATGGATAAACATGTTGATTCAGGTGATTCAGATCATTGAACAGCCTGACCAACAAATGTGTGGGCTGAGCTGGGCTGCATTGGATTGCGTTTGGTTGGGGTTCGTTAAGTTGAGTTGGGTTAGGTTGGGCTGGGTTGGATAA